GTAACCCCTGGCGTTTATAGCTTGCAAAAATATGCAATAGTTTTACTCTCCGCGCAATAGCAGATGCAGAAAAAAATAAAGGAAAAGGCAGCTGTCGATCCCCTCCTCAACTCGCAAATTGAACAAGCGGCCACGTGATCTGACGCTAATGATATACCGTCAGTGTTCATCATAGTCATGCCCTAGGTGGCTAGGATTTGGAAAGCAAAAGCTTGGGCTGAGCTTAAGATATTTTTAGAGTTGGGCTATAATCATATTTCATTGACATGAGCCGTTACCCGAATGTTTGACGATGCTGACTGTCAAGAACCGGTGCACTCAACTAGGTGTTATGAAAACCGCTTACGTCACGGTGTCACGTGACTCGGTGCAAAATCGTGATGTCATGTTACGTCACGCTGTCAACAAGGCTAATGCATGTAGTGACTTCCTCAAATTAAATCGAGTTGACGCAGTGAATCACGTGACGCCACGAGGTCATGTGACATTACTTGACAACATGTATTGACACCATGACGTCACGTGACAACGTGACACATGGTTAATCATAGTGCCAATACAAAAGCGCCACGAAAACCCACAATTTACCATACGTTGCAATTCTGTATAGGACAATTTGATCAATAGAAATACAGCCGCCAATTTTTTATTCCCATATGTTCATTTTGTGATACTAGCAAAAAATAAAATAATAAATTAACTTGAACCGTTTTGAACCGGTTACCGTTATATTTTTTTTTCGGTTCGGTTCCGGTTCAGTTTCAACATGGCGGCGACGATTTCGGTTCGGTTCAGTTCCGGTTCGGCTAAAAATAACGGTTCGGTTCCGGTTTTCGGTTCGGTTCGGTTCCGGTTCGACACCCTGGTTTTGAATGCGGCACCCCGTGTCTCTGTGAAAAGTTCACAGGAAAGACCCAGCAAAGGTATGTGGACCCCAACTTGAATATCGGGTGTTATGATTCAAATAAAATTGTTCTTGCTTATTTCGCGCCTTTTAAGCGGGAAACACATGTACGACGAAACCGTCCGATCCGACGTCCGACCGCGCAATACGACGGTCGGATGCGGACTGTTTGGTCGTGTCGCAACGTCGGAAGGGCGTTGCGGCATGCGACGGACTGCATGCGGTGGTCGGATGGCCACAGCCAATGACGACGCAGGTAGCGAGAACGTCATGAGGACGTCACGTTTTGGGGAGTGGGCTATTCAGGAGCAAGATTCCGGATGCGAGTCCCTATTCCGACGTCGTAATGGCCACCGCTCTGGCAAAAAGCTCTCGCGCGTCGGAAAACGAACTTCTGATTTCGCTTATCCATAGTCGGCCAGCGATTTGGAACCAGAGGGATACGTTATACAGAGACGCCGATGCGCGACTTGCGAGTTGGACGTTTGTCGCGCGAGGCATGGGCTTCGCTGGATCTTCAGGTACGCACACAGCGCGACAGCGCTGGTTTCCCATGTTCCTTGCACAGGTTAGATGTTGTGATCCTCTCTAGATGTTTGCGAAGGGCCTAAACTCGGGGAGGGGAGGAGAGTTTCGTGTAGTTTTATGGAATTGCGTTTCGTGGACAATTTTTTGTTGACACTGACGTTTCGTGGAAACTCGTTTCGCGAAACAAGCTGTAGCGATATTTTGACGCGCGTGAATCACTGGGACACGTGTTTATCTGCCTGGTCGCTCTGCAGCGGCTGATTACAGAAAAAGCTAATTCGAGCTGCCGACGAAACGATCTGTCCATGAAACGTTGTTCGACGAACTGATTGCCACTGAGGTAGGTCTTCCATTCAAAGATACCAGATGGGTTGTTTTGTTACTATACTTCCCTCTGCTTTTTTTTTACGACTTCTGGTACCTGTAGAAGACATACATTTCCTCAATTTTTTTTTGCACCATAAATTTAGTAGTGCAGATAGGGAAGTTTAATCCCTCATATCAAACAAAATGGTGAGTTCATCTCATGCAAATATCACATGAATTGACAGCTATACTCCGTTCCAGCTTCAGTCCGAGCGCAGTGGACGCCACAAGCTATCCCAGCCGATCAGCGCCGGGAGAGAATCGCGTGATCTGCCGGTTGGGCAGAGCGACACAGAGAGCTCAAGGTCGCATGACACTCTCTCAAAGCTGGATTGGCTGGGATGGCTCCTAGCATCCGCTGCGCTCGGACTGAAGCTGAAACGGAGTATAGTATATATCAATTTGCCCCAACATCATTTGTAACGTTGACTGTCCTGTGTGCAACTTCTACAGAACATGTTTTTGGTGACCAGACTTATCTTTCCATTGACATCTGCATCTCAAAAAGCCTAAAATGTATAAATCTTCTCATAGGCGATATCAAGGCCGTCACCAATAGGTGGCGATACCTAAGAGATACCTTTGGAAAGAAACTCAAAATCGCCAAAATGAAGAGCGGTGCTGCAGCTGGGGAACCGAAGTCCCCATGGATCCACTTCAAGCAGATGCTGTTCATAAAAGACTTTGTGGAGGGACGCAAGTAAGTATAGTTACAATTTTTTTTTTTTTTAGTGTGGCTGAAATACAGCAGTTTATGTCATAAAGTTCCTTTTTAACCTTTCTCTCATTTCAAGCAAGAAATTCAAGATAACGACCTACTTGTTTTAATATTTCATATTTCTCTAGGACCACGAGCAACATGAATGGTTCAAGACCCGCAACACCCACAGCGCCTGAAGAAAACTCTGTGGACGAGGTCCTGAGAGGGTACGAACAGGAGGAGGAGGAGGAGGAGGAGGAGGGGGGGGGAGACCCATCTGAGCTCCTCTTGTCCATGGTGTCTTCTGGCAGTGACGACAGTATCTCCAGCCGTTCTCCCATTTCAACCCTCCCTTCCACTTCGACTTCTCAGCCACGCCATAATCAGTCTGCCTCTTCTGCTCCCTGCCGTTCCCTGCCTTCTCCTCAATCCATCGCCGCTGCTTTTTCTCAACCGAACTCAACTCCACCACGCAATGCTCCAAATAGAAATAACGTACCTAAACGAAGGCAGAACACAGATGTCATCATTGAGAGCATAGATCAGCAACTTCAAAACAAAATCACTGCCACCGAACACTTTTTATTATCACTTGCTCCTCTCGTGGACAAAGTGCCTGAGGACCTGCACGGGTACTGCATGATGCATCTTGTGGATGTGATCACGCAGTACCAAAGGGGAATGGTCCCAACCACCCTGATGCAGGTCCAAATGCCTGAACCCGATACCTAAGATCTAAATCCATGTTTATTGGACAGAGACACACACATGCGCAATTAAATGCAAAGGTGGAAGCGAGCTTGACTGGTGTGCGACCAAAAGAATCTGCCTGGTCCGGATATCGAACCCGGGACCTCTCCATTTTCAGTGGATAGGTCCCGGGTTCAATACCTGGACCAGGCGGATTTTTTCGGTCGCGCACCAGTCACCTAGATGTGTTTGGAGATTTGTGTTAGTCTTTTGTCCCTTTCGTTACATACGCACCTGTCTTACCCTCATTCGGAAGGGGATTCTTTATTTTTTAGTCTTTCAATACACATCCCCACCTCAAAAGTTGTCTTACCCTCATTGCCACGTGCACTGGTCATATGGCCCTAGGAATGCAAGTTACATATCATAAAGTGTACTAGGGATGATAGCATCTGCTGTTCCCTCGACTGCTTTGTATGGCAAGGATTTAGCGCTCCCATGGGCATATTGCCAAGAACGTTCGCGAGCAAGCGCGTGCATGGCCGAGTGGTTACCGCGCTTGACTGTCGCGCAGAAGGTGTAGGTCCGACTCCAGTTAGCGGACTGTCCTTTTATTCTTTCAACTTGGCCTTCTCATAAGTTCGAGAACATTCTCGTCTAATCAAGTTCCGAATGCTCTATGCACCAAAAGTTCCACGCCGAACGATCCAGAAACCCACAAGGCTAGATAAGGGATTCGGCAAGGCGAGTGAAGTCAGTCTCGCCCCAGCGTTCGACTCTGCGGTTACGCTGACTTCGACGCCCACAACGCTCTGCTGTTATCCTGTTTGCCTTTTGTTTTGGGCACTAGTTCGCCCCATTAAACATTTCAGTTTCCCCAGTTAATATTTGTTTCCTCGCCTGTTCGTTTGTGACAATATGACCAATGTGCGTGGCAATAGGAGAAAAGCATGTGTGTTTCAATGTCCAATCCATCTACTCATTCATTAATGCAACACTTCACTGAATAGCACAATATTTATACATGACACTGAAATATAACAGACAAACAATGCTTGAGTTTGCTACAGCTTTTTTTATTTTTCCTAACCATTGGAGAAAAAAGTGCAATAAAATCTTGACTTGAAAATATTTGTTTTGAGACCAACATTGGAACCCCAGTAAAATAGATCTTTGAAGGAGCAAAAAGTGATGTAATTTTTTACATTACTTTAATAAATAGCATAAAGAAAGAGGAACTGCATGTTACAATTACAAAATGAAAAAAAAAAGATTGTGGCAGTAGAAAACAGCACAAGCAATAATAAAGAAATAATTATTAACTAGTGCTAAGTGGAAAGAATAGTAGTGAAAGGACTACATAAATATTCAATACATCTTAAAACACGAGGCCATATGTTGAGTGAGAAATCCCAGCACCCTTCAACTGAGCTCATCGAATTTGCAATGAAATATTTTACCCTACTGCTAGATGACCTACTCTGAAGCCCGGTGGCTTCAATATATATGACAATTTTACATCACCCAACTTTATTAATTACTCGTCTTCATAGCGCCGAATGGCACAGCAAAGTGAATCTAACTAAACCTCCAACTCTAAATATTAGTTGAGTTGGATTCGGATCAAATTGGCGACGACAACGGGAAGGGGGAAGCGAAGGAGAAAAAGATGAGAATGATCTACTGAATAATGTAGAATAAATCAACGTTTTAGATTAACCAATGAGTTTGTAATACCAATATAGGGATCATTACATCAGTTATAGCTATTAACTGTAGGATATCACCGCACAATGGTATATCTCATTATCTGCAGGTCGATGTGCCGTACAAATGGCAACCAGCATGTAGTTTTGAAACGCCGCTGTTAGATGGCACAGAATTGCTAAAAGGGTCTATTGCATCCCACAGTGCACTAAAAAAATTGCAATTAAAAAAAGAAAAAGAATGAACATGGCCCAAAGGGCAAACCTGAGCTTTCAGATTGCTTAGCGCTGCAGTACAGCATCTTGCCAAGAAACCTCACCTGCAGGACTATTGAAGTACTGCATGTAAAGGTCTCTGACATAACGGGCCGTAAGGGCAAAGCTCCGAGCTAGAACTCTGGCCACTTGCATCGGTGGCTGCACAAGGAGCCTGCGCCACTGGCCGCCTTTCCTTTGTCCAGCTGCATTGATGTAGTCGGCGTAGCTTGCAGCGCAGTATGTGTCGTCTCCCCCATGTTGACTCATGAGAAAATTGTGCAGGACGCAGAGAGCTTTCACTAGCTCCTCTGCATTCTGCGGATTTTCCCCGAGCCTCCTCTCGAGAATCCTCCAGCGAGTCACCAAGATTCCAAAGGCGTTCTCGGCGCATCTCCTGTTACATGTGACAAAAGCAAAGAGCAAGGTCATTTCTTCAAGCCCATCTACACTTGGTGATAACCTATTTCTGCAATGAAGTGTGAGGCAGGCCAAGCCTTCCAAGTGACCTAAGGAGAGCTGGGCAACAAAAAATAAAGGGAAGGTTAGAGACATTATCCCCTCCTCTCTCGTTTACTTGCGTTACAACAGATGAGCATCACTGAGGAGAGAGAGCTAAGGGAACTTTCTTTTGTCCACCCCCCCCCCCCCTCCCTTTGCTGTCAGTCATACAGAGAGTGGGGCCTTCAGCACTGTGGAACTATGCTAGCCTTGACAACGTAACAAAAAAATTTTTACCCCATTAAAGACATTTTAGCATACAAATAAACCATCCCAAAGTTTCTGCAAAGGGTATGAACACAGTTAAAATGTTGGCATTGGAATCTAGAAGTAAAAAATTGACCTCGAAGGTATGCACTCCTTGATCAAGGAGTGCGGACTTTCGAACAACCATATGTGCAAAGTGAACAAGAACTGTCATCCGACTCAAGAAATAACTAGTGCAATCAACCATTTTCTGGTGATTGTGGTGTTCAGAATTAATTTATTTATGTGCACGTAAGAATCGGTAGTGAGTTAGTTTTCAAATAATTAGTTGTCACATATACCTGCGCGTTAGAATCGTGCAAATACAGTACATAACAATTATTAGAATAGTTTGTATGTTTTGCAACTGCATCATTACAAGACTGGAAAGGTTCCTTTGCTCTTTTAATGCGTGGAACACATAATAATAAAAAAACCTCATTCTAGAAATTTATCCGCCCTCACATAGCCACACCTCCCGTCCATCCTTTCCTCTTAGGAAATGCATTCCATGCAATGGACTTGCAAACAAAAGTCGCCGTTACTTCTTTCTTTTTTATTCTTTTTTTTAACTTTCAGGTTTCTTGAATTTAAAAGGCCTGAGAACAACCACCTCACATTTTGCTAGCAATGTTAGACACTTTTATTGGATGCGTTCTTGCAAAAGCTGAACCCTTACCTCCTTCCCCGGTGTTCGTCACCAGTTATTTGAAGTGTAACTCTTTTGGCATACAGCATCCACTGTCGATGCAGACAAGCAGAATCATCCGAAAAAGGTGGCACTTTAATCAGCTGGTGACAAACATCGGAAGGCAGAGGAGGGTGTATATGTTCTGTTGAAAGTTTGCTAAGTTGGTATGTAAATTAGAAATCGCCCTAGCAAACTACGTGATGAACATTGATCCAATAGAAAATCTGGAAAGATCCCATCTCAGTGGACATGTAATTTGTTGCGTTTTATGGTTTGCCTAAGCATTCTTCTGTTGTTGTTGTTTTTCGTGAAGTGTACAACTACGTCTAATGAATGGTCATGGCGTTCACCTAGTCACCAGTTTTATATAGTGATGGCATGCAACAAACCTAGTGGCACTGTACCTGCCCTTAGAGGAAGCAGAGTAACGCAATTGTTTGATGCGTGCACTTTGCTGACAAAGCGTTCCTCTCCCTCGTCTTCCCCAACAGAGACTCCAAATATAATCCACTTAATGGGAGGGATTGACGGAATGCTGAAATAGTAGACAATTCAAAATCCGAAGCTGGTCTTACCCTCTTGAAGACTATACTGACGTGAAAATGGTAAAGCATTAACATTTTGAAGTTTTCTTGCATTACTATGCAGAGTTGGAGCTTTGGTGGCATTCTTCACTAGTTGCTGACATCGCATTCGAGTTTGCGTTACTTTCCTTTCTTCAGGAATATATACAGTGGCTCCAAACAAACCTATACCCATCAAATCAAGGCATTTTGCACCTTGTACCACCCAAAAAAGGCAAGATGAAATGTGTACTTGGCAAGATACTGAAATACTCTACTTCACTTGGTGACTAAGGCAGACTTCAAGCTACATGTCGCTTCACTGAAACACCAAAGGATACGTGTGCGGAGCCAATCCCTCTCCTCCACTAGAGTATTATGAACATTGGAGTTGGCAGGTTGGCATTTAGGCACTAGTATCAGATTAGCCTTACAGAAATTTAAGTTTGTGTCACCTTGCTCGGCTGAGGCGGTAGTTGAAAATTCGCTTTTCGGCATCAACTCCACGTCCAGGGTAAGGCCTAAGAAAATCTGGCCTGAGCTGGAAAGCCTCGTCCCCCACGAAGACACAAGGCGCAGGCAGCCTTGTATTGGGCAGCGGTAGATCCCGGGGCAGCCCCAGACGGCCTTCCTCGAGGAGTTGTCCAAAAATGGACTGCTTGAGGACTCCTCCATCGCTCTGCTTCCCGTAGGCACCGACATCCACGACCACAAACTTGTAGTCGCTGTCGACTACGGCAAGCAGCACGATGGAGTATGTCCCCTGAAATTTATGGTGTGTTATTCACGGGCAGCGTGCGTAGTCATGAAATAATTAATAAGAAACATGATTTTAGGCAATGTAAGAGACAATAAACCTCCGAAATCTTTTTCCTATTTTTCAACAGTTCGACCGTAAAGAATCAGCAGTTCGAATTGAGCCACAGCCACATGCGGCAGCATTATGTATGCTCTGTACTGAAATCATTAAAACTTCTTTGTGATCCAGTTGACTGCTTTTCGGATTGGGAAAAGTACAGAGAAAGGAGTAGCAACTTTCTACAGAAGACACCATGAAACCTTCTGCTGCATTACACCAGTAGGCATATCATTAACTGCATTTAAACAAGTACCAAGCTCAGGGGTTGATGTAATTAGTAGATGCTAAGAAAATTGTAAGTAATGCTACATGTCATGCAAGGAAAATATTTGTGTTAATGAAAATAATTATATGTTTTTTTGCAAAGATATTTTTGCTGTAGAGCAAGTACTATGATGGATGTACCGTAAAATACCGAGCGTGTGCCCTCGCTTGTGTGAGCAGCCCCCTCCTAATATTTTTGGCAATAATTGTATAAGCACCATTGCCCCCACCCTCGGTTTCCGTCGAACAAACTTACCATAACCCAGCAGTGGTTTTTCTTTCTTTTATAGATTTCTTGTAGTAACAGGATTCTTTCATATAAAACAGAAATATATGTTATTATTTAGCTTTGTTCTGGGCTCTTTTGCTGTGGCAGTGCTTGGAGACAATATGAAGTCAAGCGAATCCAATCCAAGACGGAAAGGAACCTGACACGCAACCGCCATCTTCTCTTCGCCTGCGTCAAGAACTGTTGTCTTTGTGCAGAAGAAAATCGAATTCGTGGAGTGGCATCGAGAAAATGGCAAGAATGTGTATTTGACTTTGCACCATTTCAAGTTGGACCGTAAGAAAATCCACGAGCGGGAGGAGAAGTACGAAGTTTTAAAACTAAAAGAACTTTGGAAAGAGCAAGCTCCGGTGCAACATCGTAAACATGTACAAAACAATGGTTTGAATGGACACACCTGCGAATAGAACCAACAACCTCGGGGGTACAGTTTGGATTGCCAACACCGGCAGTGCTAGGCAGGGGTTCACGGTTGCTTTGACAGCCTGCGCCTATGGCCACAAGCTACCAGCGTTCGTCATCCTTAAGGAGCCAAGCAGGAAGGTCCCAGCAAGAGCCTTGATGAGCCTCCATATACCAGGTGAGAACCTTTTTGCTTGCGACCTTATGACTTAGGAATGCTACGCATTGTGAGGTGCGGCCTCACAATGCATAGCATTCCTCAGTCATAAAGTCGCAAAAAGGTGCTCACCTGGTATACGGAGGCTCATCGAGGCTCTTGCTGAGATCTTCCCGCTTATCCCTCTTTCTTGTTTTTTCATCCCTAGCGAATGTTTGCGTCACAGTTTCCAAGAATGGATTGGATGACAACCGAAAAGTTATACGGGTGGCTAGGGAGGATATGGGGCCCAAACATTGACAACGGGCTGCGACTGCTAGTGTTAGGCCAGGCGTCCATACGTAAGACCCCGGCGGCTAAAGACACAATCGAGGAGTGCGACACTGACGTCGTGTACGGGCCAGCTGGATGCGCCAGTCTGCTTCAGCCCGCAGACGTGTTCTGAAATAAGCCATTCAAGGCCAGTCTTCGAAGGACCTGGGAGGCCTTTATGAAAAAAGAAAAGGGGACTCTGAAAGGCAATCTGCAAAAGCCATCATGGCAGGACGTCCTGGACCTCGTAGCCGAGGGTGTTCTTCCGCCCCGTAAGGACCTGTCGCGCGTTTGTTCAAAGGGTGTGGCATCGCAAACGCACTCGACTGGTCCGAAGAGGGCGATCTGCACAAGCGGCTCTCCGACATCGGTGCCGTTGTCTCCGAAGACCCTGACGAGCTGAAGGCCAAATGTCTGAATCTCATTTTTGGCTCGAACTCCGAAGAATCTTATTGCGGATTCGACAGCGAATGATGCGAACGCCAGACGCTCTGTTATGAATCTTTTGCAGATGAAAAAATAAATGCTATTAAATAAACTTTTTTTTTTTTTTTTCAGACGATGCAGACTGGCTGTTTCTTTTCCGTTTTACTGGTTGCCATTTTGTGGACGCCATCTTGAATTTTGGTCCCGGTTCGACCAAGGGCCCCCTCCATATTTTGGAGGAATTTATCTCTAAATATAGGGGGGAGTGCTTGCCCAGTATTTTATGGTAATGTAAACACAGACAGTAATGAAAAGCCTTAGAATTCCATCCTTACAAAATGCTATAAATTAAAGAATGTAGCATGAAAATTGAGGCATACCTTGTAATTGAAATACATGCTGCCGGATTTCGCAGGAGCTTGGATCATGATGTGCTTCCCATCGACAGCACCAAGGCAATTCGGAAACTGCCAGCTCCTGCTGAAGCCCTCGGCAACCTGAAGCCACGCATTTGTATCTGGTTTCTGGAAAGAGACAGGATACAAGAACTTAAAAGGCTCACTTGGAGTTCCAAATGTTTCCATGCTTAATATTAGGCACACACACATAGTGACTAACACTCATATTTCCAGACATTGATTCAGTTAATCCATATATAAATGTTTATAATGAAATACAATGTTACCCCTCAGGTAGCAGCAGTGCCGTCAATCTAAACATGTGGGCTTGCCAAGAAGGTTTCTCCCAGTCTGCCACAACCACTGTTGATGGGCTGCTTTGAAGAAAATATCAGCAATTGCTGGTGGCACCAGATGGAACTAACCTAGATTTAAGTTATAAGTGCCTTAAATGCATTGTTGCAATCTCACCCAACCTTAACACTGCCACAAAAGCGCTCAACTTTTGCGGAAGAGTGCTATCTTAACGGCTACTACTTAAGATACTTATCACATGATGGGACCTATCCAACGACCAGACAGTGACATGAGGAAATAGATGGACCGCTCAAGTAGCTTCTTGATTGCCGAGTCTGTTTTGCAAGTGCAACAGTATCAAAGAGCAAGTTGCAATATCACCGACTCGTTTAATTCCAGTCACTTGTTTCATTGCCAGAAAAGTAAGCATGTTCAAGGCAACAGTTTCATTTCTAATGCAGGTGACTGCAATGTGTACAAAAAACAAATGCTTTTGTAAAACACAAACACAAAGAATGCGACCTTGATAAAATAACTAAGTAATTTGCAGCTTCCCCTTTGATATCGGTAGACGACGAAAACAGACACAGCCATAAGTCATCCACCTGAGCAGTCCATCTACTCTCCTCCACCCCGATCTGGTTATTGGGTACGTATGATCACAAGATGAGTATTTGAAAATTATAGCTGCTAGAACAGCACATCTCGTTGAAAGTTTGTTGCTCCCGTGGGGGTATTATGGTTGGGCAGGACTGCAGCAAGCCAGTTTAAGGAACTTATACTTGTACAGTCGCGTATAAAAGAAACACAAATGATGGAGCTACAGCCTCTCGCTCTCGTCGCACCATTCAACGGTAGCCAGCGGAAGCTCGCGCACAAGCGCTTACTGTCGTGTGCTTCGAAAGTAGTGACGGTGCCGAGAGGTCGGCCCTGTCGAAAATTGTGATTCGCACAGTGATTTGTTTCAGAGTTCCAGGAGCCTTTCCAGAGTTGGCAAAGCGGTGGACGCTTATCAGATGACCCGCAACACGTGCAGAAAGAGGAACAAAAAGAAAAACATCCGCTTTATATTTATCTTGACGTGACATGATGATTCACGCTTTCGCGTGGGTTTGACTGTTTTTTGTGCGGCAAGAAACGCACAAACAAGAAGTGATACCATTTTAGAGCGCAGCTCTTAGGGGCCCGTTTCCGGCTTGAGCGGCGTCGCCGTCGGCGTCGGCGTAACCGCGCGGTGCATCATGGGAAATGTCCCATAATGCACCGCGCGAGCCCCCCACCAAGGTCACGTGACCTCGTGGGGGTTCACGTGACCCCCCCGAAGTCACGTGACTCCCCTGAGGTCACGTGGCCCCCTCCTAGAGGTCACGTGACCCCCGCCGATGTCGCGTGACCCCCCGATGACGTCATCGTCACTGATGACGTCACCGGCATCCACATCGTCATCGTCATCATCACTGATGACGTCACCGGCATCCACATCGTCATCGTCATCACTGATGACGTCACCGGCATCCGCATCGTCATCGTCATCATCACTGATCACGTCACCGGCATCCACATCGTCATCGTCATCATCACTGATGACGTCACCGGCATCCACATCGTCATCGTCATCATCACTGATGACGTCACCGGCATCCGCATCGTCATCGTCATCATCACTGATGACGTCACCGGCATCCACATCGTCATCGTCATCATCACTGATGACGTCACCGGCATCCACATCGTCATCATCACTGATGACGTCACCGGCATCCACATCGTCATCGTCATCATCACTGATGACGTCACCGACATCCGCATTGTCATCGTCATCATCACTGATGACGTCATCAGTGACGTCACTGATGCCGTCACCGGCATCCGCATCGTCATCGTCATCATCACTGATGACGTCATCAGCGACGTCACTGATGACGTCACCGACATTCGCATCGTCATCGTCATCATCACTGGTGAAGTCATCAGTGACGTCACTAATGACGTCATCGGTACCCGCATCGTCATCGTCACTGATGACGTCATCAGTGACGTCACTGATGACGTCATCAGTGACGTCAGTGATGACATCATCGGCATTGGGGGTCACGTGACCCCCAAGGTAACGTGACCCCCCCCTGGTTAGTTTAACCCCCCCCCCCCCCCCAGTGCCCTTCCCTCCTCCTCCTCAAGAGCTGCGCTCTAATTCGGCGTTACAGGGAGTTGTAAGCGGCTTTCATTTTTTATTTCTATTTAGACGTGTGGGCAGGCCGAGGCCACGATTATATACTTCGCATTGCTTTTCCAACTCTGCAAAGGTTCACCGCTTAGTGCAGTATGTGGCAAAACTCTGAAACGAATCACTGCGCGAATCCCATTTTCCAACAGGGTCGGCCGCCCGGCACCGTCACAGCTCTCGAAGTGCACCATAGTCTGTGCAAGTGCGAGAGATTTCGCTGGCGACCGTTCAATGGCGCGACGAGAGCGAGGCTGTCGCTCCACCTTTTGCGTTCCTTTTATACGCGGCTGTACATCGAACGCTGGTTCTGGGTTGGGCTGCCTCCGCTCTTTTTGATTTCTTGCAAAATCTGTTTTTCTACGGCTATGGAAATTATGTTTCACAAAGTGCGAAGACGTCTTCAGTTGAAACTACTGATCCCGACACCCAAACAGATTGTGGTATTAATAAGCACTGCCCTTACACACCCATTTATATGACCGTGCTGCATCATAACGTTGATAGGTCCAGACTTTGCATGCTGTTGATTAACTTTGCTTAAACACATGCACTTAACTGTGACACAGTGTCGACATTCTGCGCTTCACGCATGTGCAGTCACCTTAAATAGGGCTCTTTGTAGGAAATGGTACTTACAGCCATGTACAGTGGCTGCAGTCTTTTCCACAGAGCTCTGCAAGTGTCGCGAATAGCCGACCGTGCGGTGGATATGCCCACTCTGAATGAGAGGGCAATGTCCTGCACCAGGTCACCAGATGACATATATCTGCAATGGGAATTCAGAAATTTGGTTTTAAATTGCGGTAGAAGTTGTGAAACGAGAATTGTGATAATGAACATATTAATATAACGGAGAGAACAACTTGAATGTTTCACAGTGTGCAATTAATGAGTTTGTAGCCCAACAGTCGTGGTCAATTTGGTGTCTACTAACACTAAACATAGAAGGACTGGTCTAGGCAGTGTATGCTTAGAAGGTGGACAGCAGAGGTCCGTTAAGGGATACTTCAACAAAATTAGAAATATTCCCGTCGTGTTCAAAAATAGGTTGAATATGATCCACAATACCCGTAAATGACAATCGCACATTTGTATTTTGAGCCTGGTGGCTGTATTTTTCGTTATAAACGGCCCACTCTGGCAAGCGCCCAAAGAAGGCCCAGCGGAGACCACCTGACATCCAACGCAATTGTGACGTAGGTCGTCTCGGTACGAGCAACGCTACGGCGAGGCTGACGCCGAGAGGATGGCCTTGTCGTTCCAGCCACCGAAGCGACTGCTTTTGTACGAATTTTGAGTGACGGGTTAATCTTCTATAATCTAGTAGGGAGACAATAGCGACTTCTGCGACACACAAAAGGCATTCTCTCGTCGTGGCCGGAGGCGAGACAATCACCGTCACTAGCTGTCAAGGTCCCTAGACGGGCATTACAAACGAGGTGTTAGTGATATCCACCAGGTGCTCTCTGCTAATCGTTTAATTCGTTTTAAAATTCCTTTTCGTGACTTTTTTTAACAAGATATTGGTATGTTCGATGCGATACTGCTCGTTTGAACACATATAGACCAACAAATGAGCGCCGAAATTTCGTTGTAGTATCCCTTTAAGTATAGGTAGAAGAAATGTTATGTGGCACAACAACGACTGAAGCGCGAAACACATGTACGACGAAACCGTTCGGTCCGACGTCCGATCAGGCAATACGACAATCGGAAGCAAGAGTTTTCAACGCTCTCCGGTGCTACAAAAACCCTCCCCAACGAAGGTCATTCCAGCAGCTCGCACGTTGAATCGCACGGTTTCGTTTCGCACGGTTTCGTGTGTTTCGCGCTTTATGGATGTGACACCACTGATGAGTGGACCCAATATTCGCAACATCTACTCGAAAATGCATAAAACTGTAAAAGTATGTTCTAGAATGTGCTGAGAATCGCCAATAAGCATGCATGCACCTTCCTTAATATGTCCACACACACAGCCTGCTATTTGTTAATACCTTAGCGTCATGGCCAGCCGCTCCCCTGGGCAGATGGGCTCTCTGCATAAATAGGACCTTTCAAGGTCCGCATGAAGAAGCCTCAGAATAAAGTCAAATTGAAGTGGCGTCATCCGGTAGGACTTCTTAAAATACAGCAGGTCCCCGTCACGCATCCTTTGCATCTGAAATAAAAAGGAAACAATACAGATTACCAATCATTTAGGACACTGCAAACATTAGTCCACTAGGCAACACACAAACAGCATCTTTGTCCACATGAGAACAGCACTGACTTAAGAACATCTTTAGTCCACTTATGTGGATAACAGGTAAGAAGTTTGCACATTTGTACAGACATAAGTAGTAGGATTGTATAGGGCAGGGGATGTCAAGCTGCGGCTCTTCGGGTGTTGAAGTGCGGCTCGCGGCTCCCTTCTCTCTTCCTCCGCCCCCTCCCCCGCCTCCCTCCAAAGAGAAATGGAACGCTTTTTATATCGAAAGACAGGTTGCAGTTTGGTAGTCTTCTGCTACTGCTACCTTATGTACAGTCGGGATGCTTTTGACTCGGATAGATTGAAAGTGGTTACAGTTTCGTTTATTGCTCTGAGCAGACGTTTGCCGCCCCCCCCCCCCCCCCCCCCCGGTGCTCTTGGAAATTTCGCGGTTTTGTTTGCGGCTCTTGGGCCGGGTCAGCCTGGCCACCGCTGGTATAGGGTGTCACTGTAAAACGCACCGCAAAAGTCTGCTGCGCCTGTACGCAGGAAGCACACATCTTCTACGAAGGTGTATTGAGCGGCGGATGTACTCACAATATAGTGTGGGCGGAGTTCAGTTTAAGCAAAAATTAAGAACAACCTTTTCGTGGAGGGCATCAATGTAGACCAATGCACACAACCTAGAGTGGTGCTCGTTGCTCGCACGAAACCGGTAAGAAATAACAGCCACAGTTGAAAGCCAATTTGTCGAAGGGCGTTTGGTTGAATAGGCCAATTCACATTGGAATGACTAGTTGAAGGACAATTCGTCGAAAAGGCCAACTCGTCGTCAATCGTCGGAGGCCACTTCATGGCCATATTGGAATTAGCTCCTTTATCAGAACACAGATACACACTAGAAATATTGTCATTGGTACGTTTGGCGTCTACGGTCCTGTCGGCGAGGGTTCAATAGAGCGTTTGCGATATTACCCAAACACCAAAGGGCATTTTGGGAATGTAGCTGCATGCGCCACAGCAGCTTGCTCTTGGCTGTACAAAATTATTTGAAGTTAATAACAAAAATAAGGCAACGAAGAGCGCACGTCCAAAGAGGTATTTGCTCCCAACGTCTACTGCTGCAGATGCAAGCATGCGCAGCACGTGGAACTACAAATCCAGCAGGCTCCTTGGCACTTGGCAATTTGGCAAATGGTTTATTGGTGCTTCATAAAAATGTTGTTCAAAAGAATGTTTGCTTCTTCGGTCAAAACTCTTGGTAGCAACTCTGGAAGACATTTCGTACAAAGAGCACAAATTAAACAAGGATAAAAAAAAAAGAATGAGGATGACACAATCCTGCACTTGTCTCAAAGCTCGGTTCTATCTTTGCCTTTTTGTAGATATCCCTTCACTATTCTAACCTAACCAGGATGCTCTACTTTGTCAAGAAAATGTATGAGACTGGAGGGCAAAAAGTAGTAAGATACAATTATAAAAAGACATTCGCCTTGTACCGTCTTCTAGCCAAGTCGACAAATCGCCTTCGCAATTTGCAATTGCCCTTCGCCGAGCTGCCCTATTTGACTAATTGGATTTCGACGAGTTGGCCAATCCCTCTGTCACTGGAGTGAGAGCAAAGCACCCCAAACAACGAGCTCGACTTGTAGCATTTCCTGCAGTACAACATAAGGTGAAGGAGAGCATACTAACTGTAGCCCAAGTCAAAGTTAAACTGACTTGGTCACAAGAAGGCTGCAGGGAATGACATTGTAGCCAAGAGCGAAATCTCCTAAAAACAGCAGGAAAAGAACAGTCCCACGACCCAAGGCAGTTGCAAAGATGACAGACGGTGTAGTGCGTTTGTCGTTGTCGGCTCCGAGTTGATACTGTTAGTGACGTGTCCTCGTGCTGTATAAAGTGTCAACAGTAATAATCCAGGTACTCTGATCAAAAGGAAGCTCATTGTTGCCACTTCAAAACGGTGGGTAGAATTGCTCATTCACCGTGTTCACAGTGACTACAGTCACACCAAAGGTGATGGCATGCTCGTGCATATGGTTGCGCCTTCTCCTAAAGAGCAGCAACGCTTGTGAAGGCCCGTGTTGCAACATCATAGTATGCCAAACTAAGGTAACATTTTGCCAACATTCATAGTGCGTCCCCACAATACGCAGCCTCCCTCCCGTGCGGATGTAGACGCCAGCCTTATCACTATTGGGTCTAACCAGAGGCCTATAAAGCCGGGGTCCTGCCCTTGCCAGCACATCATGTGGTTTGTACTGGTCACCGGTTACATCGCCCCTAATCCCAGACCGTGTCCAACCTGCCCTCACTGCGAGAAGGCAGTTCATGAGAATGAGACAGCCCTACAATGCAACCTATGTGACCAATGGCTCCATCGCAAGTGCGAAGGACTTGTTTTGCGGGTCGTGCCAGCTTCCACCACTGGATGACTTAATGTTCTCGCATCCTTGCTCTGGAACCCCCCCCCCCCCCTGCAACCCTTCATACTACTGCCAAGGTCTCACCCAGCACCCCAACCATACTCCCGACACACTGACTCCGCGCCCAGAAAGCAGCGGCACATTGACATCTGGTACTTGAACGCCTGCTGACGGCAAGTACACTCTGGAGGAGTCTACCTGGAAACCTCACCGAACACATCCCTTGTGATCCTAAGAAGGCAAAGTCAACAGCCCTCGCCAAACACATACCCCGTGATGCTGAGAATTGGCAAAGTCAATAGCCCGGACACACCCACAAGACCTTCCAAACAGTGTTTCATTACTTTCTTCTCTGGTCATTTTACAGCTCATCACCTTCATCTTTAAAAGTTATCGCTGCTTTTTCCATCCTGTCAAATGTAAATATATAGAAGGAATATATATAGGTCGGCGTTGTGGGCACATCAGTTGCATTGGCCCCAGCTTTCGCCTAACACCAGCACAGCTGAACATTCCTACCAACCAAGTGCAACAAATATTATCAATATTAGTTACATTAAAAGTTAAAGGAAGAGTGCAAGCGAGCTGGTTGAGTACATACATTATTTTTTTTTAGACTTGTGTTGTGCTCTCCTCCTTGTCCCCACTCTGCAGTGTTAAAATAATGTCTATAATCAATTACATGTTCCATCCCCTCGCGATGCGAGCAGCAAACACGACTCTCGGTCAACTGCTTCGGTGCCCATCCTAGCCCTCTTCAAAGGTTATGTTGATTATTACAGAAAGGGAGCTCCCGGTGCGCTACACGTCGACTCTAAATTGATGCCACACTCAGATGCGCAATAGTGAGTCAATTAGTTGTGGACACTTGCAACGCTTCGTTCGAAGGGTCAAAGATCTATTCCCATATTTGTAGTTATTTCGTCTGTCGCATAGCCTTATTACCCGGATACAGTCTCGCTTTCATTACAGTCCTGATAATCAAAGGAAAGTGCTCTTACCGTCGTGAAATATTCGCTCTCATGGTGGCGTCGTCTCCACGCTGGGCGAATCCACCACTGTCGCTTCTTTCTGCGCTC